TTGGTGTGCGTGGCCTGGGTGCCCGGGCATTATGGAGGGGGGGGGGGTTCCCCTCTGCCCTATGCTTGGCTTTGTTTCGCCATTTCCAGCTTGAGGGGGTGGTATCCTTGGAAACGGATTTGAATTTCAAGCCAATTTAGGGCCAGAGAGAGATCGAGGGCTGGGTAAGTTGAGAGGGAGCCAAAAGCGTTTCCAGGGGTTACTCTAGGTAGTGATGCTGCAGTCAGGGGGGCTTTATGGCTCTACCTAATGTCCCAAACTTCATGTGATGTTGTGTAAAGTAGCCAGAGTTCATATTCATAAACCGTTTCACAGTGCTAACATGGATAAGTAAGCAATATGTGTACAAACTGAGCATAAGAGGACATGCCAACAATCTCCTTTTAAATTAAACCAAAATAAGAAGAACTACAAAACACATTTGATCATCATTTGTACTCAGCTTCATTATTTAAAAACACCTCAAAAATTATTGTCTTCTCCAATTACTGACATCAAATTAAAACAGTTTTCAAAGCTGGTTTATTCTTCTCTTCAGAGGTTTGGTCTTTTTAAATATGCATTATATACAAAATAATATTATAAAACATATAAAGAGCAGTGTGTCATATTTAAATTAAACTCTGGAAATAATCATTTAAAAAATTACATTATTGGTTCTGTAGTTTTGAAATTTTATAGGCAGGCAGTGGTATGACAGTCTTTTTTTGTTTTGAGTCTGTTTTTCTCAGTTGGGTTGCATAAAAACACTTTTCTATGCACACATTTATCTCTTGGATCTTGCTGGCACAGCACTGACTATTGTGCTTCTGTGGTTTTCTTTTCAAATCCCTGTTGATTAAAAAGTATTTTCCCCACATATATATGTTTTTTGTAGTGCAAATGATCCAAGAGCAGACAAGGGCACAAATTTAGCATTCATACACCCTCTTGTAAGGCTTCTAGTGAATTTGGGCTGCATACAATCTTCACCGTTGCATGGAAAAGTCCAACCAGCCATTTTTGCCGTGATTGACAGTTGAAGATTCGTTTCAGACATTCATATCTCTCAGTGTTTGTGAGGTTGGATTGTGACGGTGGGTGAATTCACTTGTCTCGATCCTGAGTCTTGCATAGCAGGAGAATCTGGCAGGACTGAGTGTGGTGGGGATTTGGAAGGGTCAGATTTTAGGCACCTTTTTAACTGATTGGTTGGCTGTCAAAAGTCATGATTATCACAGAAGGCCAGGTCATTTATGACAAGCAAAAATCCATCTTCGCCTCCTTTTATTGTCCAGGACGGCCGAGATTATAAATTAATATTTTACTAATGCTCTGTCGGTCTTCACGCCTTGCGTAGTTAGTCTTTTCGCCAGTACGTTTAACCGTTCTCACAACTGAGAGGTCCTTCACTGTACATGTTTTGCATACAAACACTCAGTCAACATAAAGTTTCTCAGTTTTTTTTTTTTTTTTTTTGCAGAGCAGAGGTTTATGCCCTCTCCAGTTCTCAAGTGTTCCAGAGCAGCAGTGGACATCTTAAACAATCTCCAGTCTCTTCTCAGTATTTGTAAACAATCCAGAATATTATATTCTGCCTCAGTTGTGTCTTTTTCCTCATTCCCCCCACTTTCAGACCCCTCACAGTTTATACCTGTGAAGAAAAAAAAGAGGAAATATAAATATAAAATAGAACAAAATAAAAGCACAATAATCCCCAAACTAAAATCTCCCGCTAAGTGTTTTAATGGTGCTTTTTGACATGTTATAGCTCAAATGCTCCAGTATCTTTTATGATATTTTACTTGGAAATAAACATCTGAAAAAAATTCCACTAAAAGCCACAGGATTAAAACATAGCACCTTAGAGACCAAGCAGGGCCAAATGTGTGAGAAATCAAATTAAGTTCAGAGTTTAGGTCATCACATGGCCAAGATAAAGATTACCCAGTGTAATTTACAGAAAGCAACACTGCAGCTGATCGGGCTACTTCCAGCTAAAGTCCAAATACAGCTCTGCAGTCTTTCTAGAAATAGCATCACACACTGTCAGAAGTGTTAGTGCACTAGTGAGGGATAGTGCACTTGGGACAAAATGACGCATTTTGAATTGGGGGGGGGATCTACGGAAATGCTCATGAAGAAGTGATTTTTTTTTTGGCTTACCTCAGTTGCTATGACACATTCCCTCCTTTCCTCTGCTATAACACATACTGACTGGTACATGGAATCTCTTGAGGAACATATCGTTGATATCCTACACTCTGGCTTTTCCCTGCAAACACAAATCACAAGGTCCGTTAACGCAAACTAGAAGCACATGGTAAGAGCTATGCATTAGGCACGCACATGTAAGGAGTCAACAAAGAGGATCTGGGCAGTTTGTAGCAAAGCAGTTGTCAAATATATATAAACTCTGTAAATGAAGAACAATGTATGGCAATGTAGGTTTCAATAACAACTGGGGCTCACTGTTGAGTTCAAACAACTGACTTGTGGTATTCTGTGAGAGCTCTCATTAGCAGTCATTTCCACTCAGCACAGCTCTATATGTACACAACTGTATAGACAGAATAAATGGAGGAGACTTATGGAAATGTCCTAATACTTAATTGAATGTATTAGCACAATGTAAAGCAGAGGGTTACAGTTGTAGCTTAAAAAGTTTCCTCTTACCTGTACATTCTACTCAAGGGCATTTTATCTTCTAAACACTTGTCATAAATAAGACCTTTTTCCTCTTGTGACTTTTCATCCTTTAACTCCTTTGATTTAGAGTTGTAAGAGTCCAAGTGATAGTTTTTATGGATAAAGTTTGATTTCTCTGTATCACAGTCCACCTCCAGGCTGATTTTGTGATTGGTGTTTTTCAGCTGTGACGCTGGTATTAGGTTATCCCTCTGAGCATTTGAGAAGTTGTTCATAGTCTCTGCGTCTCCACTCTCCCTTTGGGCCTGCCTGTAGATGTGCCTCAAAGCCAGGCCCACCATACATAACAGCACCAGCAGAGCCACCAGCCCCACAGCCAGAGAAACCGCCGCCCACTGGAAGTTGTCTTGAATATCTCCATCGATTACAGGAGAGGTGACATTGATGAAGAACTCGCAGCGAGGCCCGGTGAAGCCAGACAAGCAGATGCAGGTAGATGGGGGTTTGCCTGGCCCCCCACCCCCTGTGCAAAGACCCCTGTTAAGGCAGGGGCGAAGGGAGCACTCGTCCAGGACTCTGTCGCAGTTGCGTCCACCGTAACCCGCAGGACAGATGCAGGTGTAGTCATTGATTCGGTCTTGGCAGGTGCCTCCATTGAGGCAGGGGTTACCGGCACATTCATTGATGTTGATTTCACAACGCTGACCGGTAAATCCTGCACGACAGCTACACATTCGCAAGCCACCAGGGGTGATCAGACACAGGCCACCTGAAGAACAGAAGAAGAGTTAGTATTTATATATCAAGATTTTCTCCCTCGGAAAGAGAAACTGACATTAACCTTCAGTATGATAGAGGTGTTTCATCATCAAGGCATTTCAAAATTAGCAAGCATGTGATCTCCATAAACTTTCCCACCAGGCCTCATCAGTTCACACATCTCCTTCAAATCCACAGTGTGACCACAGCACCGTGTATTGTTCTCCGAACACAAAACAATCCCAGAGCTCTCCGTGTTTATGAGATGACAAAAATCGAGCTATGCTGGATATTTGTCCCCTTTCATCAACAATCGCAGCATGCTGCAATGACATTTCCAAGCTGCTGCTCTGAGCTGCTAAGTGTTTATATGCAGGACAATAAACAC